TACTGTAAGTTTTTCAGAATTCTATCCTCCTAAGAACGATTTTTCTTAGAATAGTAAAATGGAGAATTTTGTAAATTGCATAAATCATGCAGTCATAAGCCGAAGACAACCAGCTTTTAATAGAGTGTTTATTCGATAATATGCGAATAATAGGCATTGACTCCCTGAAATAACAAATGAACTACCGATTATTACGGGTCACTGAGGCCACGCCCACGTATCAGTCCACATAGTAAAGTCTGCCCAAGGTATCCTACTTCCTATTATGAAAATGGTCGACATCATAGCGTTCTTAACCGTGATTCATGCTTGTTTTCTCTTTTTGAGGCAAGAAAAAGTGGGAATTGGAAAGCACTGGGCATCTTCATGAAGGTGGGGAAAGTAGCTAATCACTTCCACTAACTAGCAACTTCTTCTACGGATCTTACTAATGGAAAAACCCCATTTCCTTAGCTTAAAACCCTTTTTGTCACTCACATATTATAGGAAGATGTGCGAACCCCATCTTCATTCAGTAATGTTGCCAGCAGAACACGGTAGTCGAGGAAGTCGGTACTTGCTTAGACTTATTCCTTGTACTGCTTCCAAAAGTTTCGATTGCTTGTACTTTCGAATTCTTCCTGTAAAGCTGTTTTGCAACGGGTATTGGCTATCGGCAGCTCGAGATGTGATGTAGCCTTGACATAGCAAGAATCACTGCATTACTTTTTAATGGAATCCAAAAACACCAGTGATAGTGGATGCTGTCGTCACTTCTTCAATTTGAATCAAGATTGCTTTCATATATCTATTGATGGTGAGCATAACGGCTCTAGCACGACAAGGCAGAAGTTTTTTCTTTGATGCTAGTAACTTAATACCAGTTCATCATAGGGACAGTCATAAGTGAAACTATTGTGGTACCAAAGGATAATCTGATTTTTAGGAGTGAAACGCGGTATGATACAACTGCCTTCAATAAACAGCGCACGCACAACTTTCTACGGTTGATTATTATATGATATTTAGCAATATGAGCCCAACTGGATGTAGAATGAACAGAAGAAAGGAAAAGCGTTGGCAGCATCGACTATTTCGCTAAAGTAACCTTGACTGTACTTTATAGAAATTGACATCAGTACGGAGTAACTTGGTTCATAGGAAATCTTGCAGGCAAGCTTTTTTCATTCTGATGGATATGGCGCCTCTTGGCTTGAACGTAGTACAATTATTATATATTGTCTTGTAACTAGGAATGTTTATTAAATCGTGGTCCACGATAGCGTAAGACTGTAGAAATATCGCACGACCGCGTTATTTTCATATGATCTGTGA